AAAAAAGGTTCATGAAAACAACTCTGTTCAGCAGCCTACATTTTACCTAGCTACGTAATTTACTCTGGTGATGGACAATGATATTTTTTGCTAAACAACCGTTTCCCAATAATCTTACTTTTCTATGCAAAGACCTGACCTAATTAGGCCCACAAACTCAAGAGAACTAGCCTGCTGCTTTTGTGTATTTGCAAGTACATCAGAAAAAAAGCAGCAGTGGCAGCAACCACATCATGCATCAGCAGTGGCCAACATCAACCCATTATGGCTAATCTTGCAGGTTAGCAGAGAGAATTTTGCTGCCCTGCAGATATAGGATCATGCCTAAATTAGATGTTTTCCATCACAGAAAGCCAGGGTGTACTTAATGACTGGCTAAATAGAAGTGGTAAGGAGTTGGAATTCTCCCCTCCCCACTTCTCAGCCACCAGCACTGTGTACCCATAATGTTATGATAAAGGAGATAGCTCAAACGTCCCAGGCAGGAGCCACAGATGGTTATCAGTGTCACACAGCAATGGGAGCAGGGGGAGGCAGCTGTAGCACACAGTTGTGCCCAGTGAACTGGTGGGGTGATCTTATGCCAGAAAAATGCCATACCATGGACTCCTCCCAGGTCCTTCCCTTAGGGTCACTTGATTATAATCTGAACACAAAAGCTTGCAAAGTAATGCAAATTTATTCTCTAACTTAAAACAGGCTACAAAAGGCTTGGAGACCCTTCTCTTTTGGTTTCTGCCTCTGCCTGGAGGAAAATGCTCATATTCCTTCCTCCTCGAGGGCCCTTTGAAAAGGCTTTGAAGTGAGGCAAGCAGCTTTTTACTGCTACTGGATATTGCATCCTCTTTGCTTACATTCCACTCTTCCAGCAGCCTATCACATTCAGAAGTATAAAATGTTCACACTGAAAGTTGCAATGGGATTCAGCAAGCCTTGTGTGCACACAGCTGCTGGTATGAGCTCCTCCAGCTCTAGGTATAAGTTTTGGTGAGCTTAGACATTATTTATTTGAAAAGTAGTCATTGCTAAAATGTCAGATGCCATGGACTGATGGAGTCCTAAACCTGCAACAAGCTTTGTCTTAGGCCCTCCTAATCTCTGCAAGCTTAATGGACTGCAGAAGCTAATCCTGGATCATATAAGTAAAGCCTATACATTCACCAATGACTTACAATTGATTGGGAAGTTATATTCATGTACATTTCCAGGGAAACAAATCCTGACAGCTCCAATTTAGAGATGCAAACCACCGTTTAAAGAACAGCAGGGAGAGAACAAAATACAACATTCTCACTTCCTTCTAAAAAAACTGCAAAGAAAATTCCTTCTGAAAAAAAACCCCACCTTTTTATTGCAGAAGGAAGCCTTTTTACTGACACTGAGTACCACAACAAATGAAGCATAACACTGACCATTTACACCCATTCTAGCCAGCTCACGCCTTGGCATCATCTTTCAGCACCTCAGCTGAGCTGCTGCCAGGCACACGGAGCCACAGGCTGCTCCAGGTAAGTAGCCCTGTGCCAGCCAAGGAGCTCAGGCTGATGCACTTGCTGCTTTTACAGGAGACCTGCTGTGCAGGTTTTTTCCCCCTTGACACTAGGTCCATAGGGGAAAGAGAAAACTTTAAAAGCCCAATCTAAATTCAAGCTGTAGGAGGTAGCTTTTAATTGCAGTTTGGATCAATAGAGAAACAATCTAACACTTGCTCTTGGTTACTAAGCAGGGGTTTGTACTTTTCCAGACAATTTTCCCCTGAATTTCGTATGTTCCTGTTTCCTTATTTGCTCACACAATCTGGAGTCTCCACAATTTAAGTGCAGAACAAAGCATTCATATCGCTAGAAAACATATCAAATTATGTATCTGTGCCACAGATTTTGGTACCTTATCAGCAGCAACAGCATGTTCAGTAAGTAGTCCCAACATTTCAGCAGTTTAAAGTACTAGAAAAGTGTTAAGAATAGCAGTCTCAAATCCTTATAGCCTGTACTGAAGTGAGAAGTGTACACAAGTACTTAAAGAGTGTCAAGTAGCATTTTATTTCATTTCCCAGCTGTATAAAACTAAGAGCAAGCCAAAAGGTAGTCAGATGCTAATAAAGGTCCATCCAGAACTCTCCTTCTATCAAGAAGAAAATGTGTCACTGTAGCCCTCTTGTGATCGTAGGATTAACAGCTATTAGATCCACAGAGTGCTTCCCTACCACCCCTTAAATCAAGGCTCTGCAGGCTTTAACCACACTGCCATTCAGTTCTTTGCCCTCTCCACCTTCCCTCAGTTTCTTTCATATTTTTCTTCTTTCCATCCTGGTTGTAAAAATCTGAGCATATTTAGACCATGCTTCTGAAACAGCAGAGTACTCGGTATATTCGCACCATAAAACAAGAGAACTGCTGTTTTCGAGGAGGACTAAAACATCCCTCATTGACTGTAAGCACATACTTATATTCCCAGTATTTCTTCTCCATAAAAGGTCTCTAATGAACACAACTTACAGCCTTGTTTCCCTCTTTTAGATAATGTCTATGAGATCAAGTTTTAAATTGAGTGTCCCACAGACACCCTTTAGATGCATGCAACGTTTCTCTACCCTTACAGAAATCACCCTGACATTCTCCAAAACCTACTATTGGCAGTCCTGTTGATCCCAGACCTTCCCTACCAATCACCAAGATTAAAGACTCTGGTGTCCACCACTTAGCTGGGACACTGCACAGTCAGGGTTGTAAAAGAACAGTGTAAAAACCACTGCTTCTTACAACCTACAAAGGCTGTAACAAACAGAAGAGCAAGTTATGGCTGCATTGCTATAGGTGCTTAATGGGATAGAGTCTTGAAACCGAGGGTGAGGTAATGGGTTGTTTCCTAAAAGACACTCACCTTCCACATCTGCTGCCTCAGTCATCTTCAATTCAGCCACTGCAAGACCAGCTCACTCTTACAGATCAGGAGGCTCAGGCACGCAGTCGAGTTGTGCTTCAAGAGCTGCTATCAACCTGTCCCAAGGAGCCGAACTCCAACATGGACATACTGCTGTGGAGGAAACCTGGAGAAGGAGCCATAAACTAAGAGAGAAAGGAGAAATGAATGAGAATGGAGAAAAGATAAAGGACAGTACTAGGACAGAAAATTAGCTATGGCTTAGGAGCAGCAACAGTATCAAGGAATATTAGCAAGCAGTACCCACTCTTGACCTGCAGCACAGGGGTGGCACTTCAGTTCATTAAAACTAAAAGAGTTTTGACAGACACATGCATTTAAATTTTGAGAGCAGCTGAAACCAAAAGGAAAACAGGCTTCAGAAAGAAAAATAGTGAGAGTCATGGCATGTCCTTTACTTGAAAGACAGCCATAGTAGCAAAGCTAGGATCAAGTTAAACCCTATTTTTTCCCTATAAGCAAGGTAAAGGGGAGAAAAGCATGCACCTCTATAACATTTGTTATTGCAAGCCAATTTCCTGAAGAACAGGGTAATAAAAAGCACTTCCGAGGAAAAATGGGATGACCACATATGAAAATACAGATGGGAAATCCTACAGTCAACCTGTATTTCTACATAAATTTATCTTGGTTTTGAGCTGGATAAATGCTAAGAGATACCTAAGCTTCTGGGTGTCTCACAGAAAGCATGATTCATAGCACACCAGGGCCTTTGTAAACAAAATTGACAGGACTTACTCAGTAATTCAGTTGTAAAAGCTAGATGTAAGGCAACCCATGGTATCTTTGTGACAAAAAGCAATTTAGGAATGAATGTACCAAATATTCTGCAGACAAGCCAGTCAATCCCACCTAAATTAGTATAACACATTGAGAGTAAGTCAAATAACATGGTTCAACTTCTCTGTGTGAGCATATACTTTTACTGTAGTAAAACTGGTAAGAGACCCTGGGTACACATGTGAGTTGGAGGGCAATCAGTTACGGCAACTGTATGTTGAGGGGGAAAAAGGCTCGTGCTATAGAAGCAGAAAGCTAAGGTTCTAGTGACCCCACACATTTCAGTTCATTATTTGATAAAATATTTTATATTTAATGTTATGAAAAATTGTACAGGTTTTATTACTGATATTATATACTGATATTTTCTTCCATTGCCAGCAATAAAACCAGTAACACTGTCTTTTAATCTGTTCAACTATGAGCTTTCATATATTAAAAGTTTAGTAGATCACATGCAGCTACCTAGAGACCACGCCCTTACTTCCTCCAAAGGGCAAAAAACCTTTGCAGGATCATTTGGTAGCAGTCACTTAAGAGATCGTTGAGAAGGCTTGCCTTATGCCCACGAAAGAAGCAGAGAAAGCCTTCAAAGGCCATATTGCAACTCACTGAAGGATGGTTAGTTCATGACAAAAAATTTTTTTTAAATGTTAAGCTGGCAGAAATTCATCATTTTCCACAGAGTTTGATCATGGTATTTCACTGTTAGCCAGGTCATCCAGCACTGAGGACTTTGTTTACAGAACAAAAAGCCTTAGAGAACTTTCCTCTGAAGTACGTAGTAGTAAATCTGATCAACACAAAAATCTGTCCCTCTCCTGCATCCAGCGTATTCTAAATCTCTCCAATGAGTAAAGTCACCACCAAACCAAAAAACCCATTGCTAATATCTGTCACACTGCTTACCTGAAACTTAAATGAAGTTTATGACATAAGCATAAGCAAAGTGATCAACTACACATTCTCATTTAGTAAACCAATACATGTATTTTAGTGCTTTCACTACGAAGATACCATTGCAGTTCTCAAACATTTTCAAACTTAACTAGTCTAGAGTTCATATGCCTTATTTAAACCATTCTATAAGACAGTCTACACAGATGTCTAAACAGGCTTTTCTGACTACAGATCAGTAACAGCTTCATTGTTTCCAGTTGGTTTTTGCTGGAATTAGAAAACAGGGTATTTTGTCTTGGGAAAGGTAAGAAGCTTAAGCTGATCAAAATGAGACACGTCCTGTTAAAAATAAATTTACAGTATTATATACCACACAGGCTACTCAGCCACCCTTCAGAGGTGGAAAGAGTTTGTGAAACCCTTTCAGATTCCTTCTATTGCTCCTGAATACCCTAGGGAGCAGTGAGCTACATCACGTTAACAGGCCGACATTCAAGGATTCCAATGTTACAAAGCCCGCCAGTGCTGCGTTGGAGCCTGTGAAGGCTGTAACTGTGAGGAATAAGGATGCTTCCCAGCTTGTCCCCATCCTTTCTCTGTGAGAAAGTATCATGAGACAAGTGTAACCAACCACCTCCTGCGGCTGCAGTTTGTGTCCTCTATATATCATATTGTAGACTCCGCTCATCCCATCCAGCATAAATTAGTATTTCTCTAATACCTCAGACAGGTCCAAGGAATCTCAGGGGAGGGGTTGATCCTCTGATACTCTATGTTGTAAGAACCTTCTGAGGGCTCTGAAGAGGAACCAGATGAACCAGAGAAGAGGTCTATACGAGCTGGCAAGCAGGACACAGGATAGGATCATACATCCTTATCTGGGACCAAGCAGCCGTTATATGTCTCTCAGCTCACTGGTTCATCACAGGCCTTTAACCCCACTGCTGCAGCTCATTCAGCTCCAATACAACATATCTGACAAGCTCTCCCTCCAACCTAGAATTTGGACATGAGCCCTGTAAAGGAAGAGCCAGAGCATACAGTTGGGGTTGTGCATTCACAGAATGGAAGAAAAGATGGATCATCCAAATAGACTAAGTGAATATCAAGAAATATTTTATTGTACATGTAATCAAAGTTTAAAAAACAGACAAGAAGGAGCAAGGGACATATTTATCTAGCATCTCCTAACTATGCAGGGTACAGAAATACAACTAGTAAAGAATTAGCACATATTAGTACCCTTTGCTCCCCTTCCCTGCCCCAGTAAAGGAGGTTATACAAGCGAGATTAGTAATGCTTCAAATCAAGCCTTCTCAGTAATTGCACACTTGAGCTGACATAGTTGAAGTATGTTCAGTTTCATGAGAGAGTATGTGCCTTCAAAATAGTTGTTTATAAACAAAAACACTATCTCTTTAGTGGTTTGTAAGCATTACTCATTCAACACCAAGAGTATACTTAAATGACTAATGATTTAGCAGCCATAATTGTCTTGTTATATCTGAACTGACACTATCTTTAAGTGTATCAATTATAGAAAATAGATTCCTTACGTTTAACAATACGTAGTAGAGAATATATTACCTAGTGGCAAAACCGTAATGTGAAGAAGCAGAGAAAGTATTTAGAGGGAAGGAGGGGCAGCTGCATGCTGAGCAGGGGGCACGTTGACTAATGAGAACTAAAAAAGCTGAAGCTCAGGAGTGCTAGCTGCAAAGGAGTTACACCTCAGTATCACTGGTGTAAGTTTCAGAACGTCTGGTTTGAAAAATATGTTATTCATCCCACACCTACATCAATCTCCCAGCTTAACTCATGACCCTAGATCCCCCTTACCTACCCATAGCAGGAATTTTAAACAGTTATAACAATGTAACTCATGTTCTGCCTTACAGGCTGAGAGGAAGGTGGCTTCCATTCTCTTCAAGAGCCAGAGAGGAAGAAGTCTGAAAGTGAATGCAGAGCATTATCAGGGCTCATTCACTCCTTCGACCACTCAGTTTCCTTCCTAATTTACAAGGATGAAGGCCTTCAGAGCAGAAAGATGCAACTGTTTTCCAGTACAAGCTGATTTTCTCTTAATAGCTTAGAAATAAGCCTTCACAAAAAATGTAGGCTATACAGCATGTACCAAGGGATGAATCAAATCAGCGTGACAAGTGCTAAATCCCAAATTGAAGGCAAGACAAGTTTTGGAATTCCCACAAAAAGAGAGATTTGTTTATTCTTCAGTGGTCCAATAAGCCTAGCAAATTAAAAGACTCTTCGCAAAACTTCCAGAGAAGGCCCATGGGAAGGCAGACAAAGCCAGATCCAAAATAACAGTAACTATCATATTCTGGATTCTAATGCCCTTTGGAGACTATCAGCTTTTTGGCTTAAAACGTAAGTGAATCATGATGTATTAACGATACCATGATCTTCATCTATTTCAGCCTACAGCATGGTCCAATGCAGATTATTAGTGTCAAGTTACACACCTAGGACTTGAACTCACTAACACTCATAGCACCACTTGATTGTTACTGTAAATAAAGACAGTCTAACCCTTAAGTCCTCTGCCAGAAAGAGCCTATTACCTTTGATAGTTGTGCAACACCACCTATTCCGGGCCAGCTGACATCCCCACATTTTTTGTCTTCACACATACACATCTGTTTTCAGAAAAATCTAACCAGCTCCAAGCTTAAACTCTGTGACATATTACTTTAGCTTTCAAAGTTTCAAAATAAGTTCTCCTTACAGTGTTCAAATGTAGGAAATTCACGCTGACCAATTTATTGATATCTCAGTAGTTATTTCCTGTACTTGCCAACTGCACAGTCATAAAAGCCTCCCAGCTCTTCTTCATACTTCTCAGCTTCAAAACAGGAAAGAATCAATACAGGTATCACAGGATTAACAGACCTAGGGGCAGGGAAAAAACCAGCTGTTCTGTACCTCAGTAATTATTGCTCAGTATTTATCTGTTTCTAGCAACACCAAGGCAGTATTTGAATTTACGCTGCACTTTAGCGGAGACCGATTCCCTACCATTAAAGAAACATCAGCCTTTCCACAGGAAAAAGTCTCTAAAATTTAGCTGGCCATTTTTTCTCAGCCATTACATTTAACAAGGCAGATTTGCTTAGCTTCCCATTCTAACAGCATTATAGAGTTGTCACTACAGCCTGTCTTTAAAGTAGAGTAGCTGGGCTGCACGTTTGCACAAGAACTACAGAAGTTTATTAGCTATGCTAAAACAGTACTTAAAGAGCCTAGAATTGTTCAAAGACTCACCAG